TTATCCCGTGTGCTGAGATAGATCTGTCTAGACTGCTTTCCTTATCTTGCAGCCAAACTGTTCTCCCTGTAGCAGTCGGTTATACCTTTCAGTGGGCTCTCTCTCCAGACACACAAAAATATCCAGGGAAGGAGCTCTGTAAACGTACATGTTCTGTGAGGCAAAAGCTGCTGGAACTGTGTCACCAGATAAAGACGATTTCTTTCAAGCACCTTGGGTTGGAGTGATTAATGAACATGCCATTGTGGCAGCAGCAGAAAGAAATTAAAGAAAATAATCTTAAGTTGGAGAGTGGAACAAGTAAAAGTCCCAGAGGAGCTGAATCCCTGCAGATATACAGAAGGCAACAAAAAAAGATTTATACATTGCATCATTCTGTATCTTCAGTCAGTAAGTGCCAGTGGAAAGAAAGATTTTAAGGCTTCTATGTCTGACACTAGCCAAGCTGAGCAGACTTGGTCTTTATCCATTCTCATTTTAAGTCAGAGGGAAGAAAAAAACATGGACTAGGAAAAAAAAAATGAGGTGGGATGCACCGCACTGAAAATAAAACATAAGAATAGTGACTAAACTACTAAAGGTACAAAAAATTATACCAAAATGGAAGGATCTGTGACTGATCTAAGACTGAAGACACAATATCGTGGAAGAAAAGAGGAGAAAGAGTTAACCAAGTCTTCGATGACAGGCCACACTGTGACTAGAATCTGAAACGGGGAAAAAACACATAAATCTTGTGCCTTTTACCAGGACACCCAAAATTAATATTTCCCCAGACCCAGACATCTCAAATTTTGCATGAAACAAATTGCTCACTCAAGAATAATGTTTCTGTAGTAAGGACCACGCTTTAATACCCTCAGCAAGATGAACACCCAAAACACTACATGAAAAGAGGTCTGAAGCAAACTATCATTTTTTTTCATTTTAAGTGTGACATTGGTGCTCCACATCAGTTACTGGTATGAAGAACACAGATTTACACTTAAAACTTAAATGTAAAAATTACGGACAGGGAGAGAAATACGTAAGAAGCATTATAATAATGATGAAGTTCCCATAGTTCTGAAGTTCCTATTTATTATTTTAATAAATGCTCAGAACATTGAAGTACTTACCACAGAAAGAAAACAGTCATGAAGAAAATGTGTAAAAGATAATTACTGTTTCTTGTGGGTTTGATGCCTATTTCTCAGCCAAAGGTTTCAAACCACAGCTTTGCCCACAGAGAGCTCCGCTACATCCCTGATTTCATCTTTCCAAAAGAGAATCTCATCTGCAAACATGGACAGGTATTTCTTGTACAATCCAGGGTGAAACAGCGATGGAACTTCCCAGCATGACACAGAGCTTAAGGGCTGTCTACTGAGGCAAAAGGGCCATGCTGACTACATAATGTCCCTCTGACTCTTCTCACTTGCTGGAGCCTTTCTACCCTGGGACAAACAGGGAGTGACTCCTAGAAGGGCAAAAACTGTGCAGAAGAAATAAAATTTTCTCTTTTCAAGCCATCAGCAACATTTCAAACTGTGGGACCCTCATTTCCAAAGATAGGTCCCTTCAAGAAATGCAAGGCTGCTATCATTTGGGAGGTCAGCACACAAGAAATCTGCTCGAGTTATGATCACTGAACATACCCATTGCTTGGATTCAAAGAACACTTCGAGTTAAAAGATATCAAATAAAAGTTCAGACTATTTATTTTTATTCCTTTTTGTTACTTATTTTTAATACTCCGTCAGGGAACATTTGTCAGTTGTATATTTGTTTGTAGGAACATGCAAAAATAAACAGAAGCTGCTCACTTCTATAGTCAGTGGAGTTGAGTCTCCCGGGTTGCAGAGAAGTATCTGCAGTAGTATTCAGAATCAGCCACACATAAGGTTTAACTACCTACTACTGTTCCTGTTTGAAGTGTGTCAAAAGACTACAAGTTCCTTGGAAGAAATATAAAGCAGAATTAAATAGTTTTCAGTGTTAAAACAGAATCAGCTAGAACCAAAGAGATGCTTCAAGGAAAACAAAAGGATTTCATTTAATTGAGCAATTTTCCCTGGCAAGAATCTAAGACCAAAGCAGGTACTTATGTTTTCTGCTTATGCCTTACATAGACTAATGTTCATCACCAACTATATCCACATACAGAACTGGACAAAACCTTGGCTGGTGCCTTTGATTTCAAAGGGGTAGTTTTACTTTCCAGACTAACACAACACAATTTAATTTCTTTAAGCCTATTCTTTGTTACTTTTTTTTTTTCATAGACAAAATATAAAAGCAGATGTTGATGAAAACAGGCATAGTGGGTCAGACCAAAGAGCAGTTCTTTGTAAAATCCCAGCATCCTGTCTCCAGCAATGGCCAACAGCAATGCAATTGACAAATGCGCAGTAATACTTCTCCCCAATATTTTCCAATTTGTGGCTCAGAGACTCCAAAGCCAGAGGTGGTGTCTTTGTTTTCAACAGCCCCTCATGGTATAGGCTATTCCCCTTCTTCATCCTTCTGTGCTCCAAACCTTTCTGCAGCAAATTCGATTGCATAAACCAAGTGACCAGCCAAATATTTCAGTTTTCCCAAGAGTTGTGTGTACATTACCCAGTGCCATTCCTACCAAATGAGCAGTAACCACACAAAAGCAAAATACGTATTCTCCAGGGGCAAAAATAAATTCACTTACAACACATGATGATTAAAAAGGAGGAAACTACAATTCCAACAACAATAAGGCCAGCTTCTACTGCTTGTAGCACTGAGCTGCCTTTGCTATTTCCTGCCACAGGAACCAATTGCCAGTTGCTTGACACTGTTAACATTTCTGAGACACCTCATCAACCATGACTCGAGCTTTTTCCTTGCACAGAACTTCAGAAACAAGACTGTTCTTTGTGCTCATCCTTGGTTTGAAGATTTTTTCAATGGCTCCATTATTCTGAAGCTAGTGAAGTATACTTGATTTCCACTGTCACAGAGTTTTTAGGTGCAAACAGTACTTGTCTAAACATACAGATGATGCTTTCACACCTTCTGGATACTTCATTTGGAAGAAAAAGACTTGAAATAAATATGAGAGGAACCAGCTTTCTCCAAGCCACCATGAAGCAGTTAAATTCTTGCAGAAAACCACAGAGAATTTTGGCGACATGCAAAATATTCAATCTTCTTGGGGAAAAACAAAAAAAGAAACCAGGAAAATGTGAATGGAGAGACTAATTAGTATTCCACAAGCACATTGAACTCAGGCTGTTATCTTGCCAGACAAGGACTTGCACTGCGAGGCCTTTTTACTGAACAAGCTTGAAATACACCCTTATGTGAAGAGGTTGATGAAAACTTTCTTCAACTTCTTTGTTTGCAAGCACAACATGAGCCTGGTATTTCAAAGGGCTGGAAAAAAAGAGTCACAGCAGAAACCCCAAACCCAGCATTTCAGGATGAGATAATGGAAATCTTGTATTTCTCAAAACTCCTCAAGTTAGAGGCAGAGCTGCTCAAATGGGAAAGGTAACTTTCTTGCTGCTTGACTCAGTCAAAAAGTCCTAAACACAGTCAGCCCACCCTAAACCCTGCCAGATACAGCTCTTTCACCAAAAGAAAGCCAACCTTCCAGACAATTCACACCTGACGCTCAAGGGATCGATCAGATGAAAACTACCATTTATCCTGACAGCAAATCTAGAAAAATCTAAACTGGGGTATGAAATTCCTGAATATTCAAGAAGGAAAAATCTTCTAAATTAGCATGTACTGGTAACCTAGCCACTTAAATTCCACACATGAGTTTTGTAAGTCTTTCTGTTTCCATACAATTGATCGTTTAACACCTAACTTTTCACCACGATTTAAAAAGGAAGGCTACAAAATTATTTCAAACCAACTCCAAGCAGGAAGCCCAAATTCAAAGTATGCTTCTGGTAAACATTTTGATTACAACCGGGCTGACTGATTATTCAGCTTTATCTACAGCAAGCCAACTGTTAACTAGGAGATCACTAAAGACAGTTCAGAAATATCTCAGCTCACAAAGCCAAAACAAACATCAGCATTTTTTTAAAAGTGATGAGGTCAATAAATACTGCTTTGTTGGTGTCTACAACCCCTGCTTTAAGTATCGTTTCAAGGCAGTAGATAATATGAAATCATAGCTTTAATTCATGATGGGGAAATCACTGTTCAACTAGTGGCTGATTTCCACAAATAAAGATTTACAAAGTACAAAATGATCAGTTTCGAGAATGCCAAGGTGAACACGATTGTCTGGAACTTTTCCCCATTTGTATGTAGGGTTCTTGACTTGAGATTTAGAAGTAATATGATATCAAGTAGTCTTGTGCCATATATGCATATATTTCCATTTAAAAAAGTAAGATAAATGAACTTGGGGTCTAAACCATGTAATTCCTCTTCCTGTGCATGTAATCCCTGACATTCCATTTGGCAAATAAACATATTAGAAACTAAATGCCACACAATTAGAATGCTCTGTCAGCCAGGCTCCAGCTAATGTTTTCAAAGCCTAAATTTTGGAAGCAAGTTTGAAAATTTTTGACTAATTAATTTTTTCTCATAAGAGTTTGGTTTGATTTAGCACCTGAACTTCTTAAGCGAACAATCTGCCATGCCTGTTCTTGTTAAGTAATATCTGATTCTGTAAGTAATCCCATTGAAATCAGTGGAATTTCTTCCAGAAAGTGAGAGGAATCAGTAAGCAGTGAAAAGGCAACTTCCAGCTATCCTCTGAATTTAACAAACTGCAACTCCCCCCAAATTCTTCATACTGTGTTAGTGTTACTTCTCTAAGGCAGCAGTTGAATTGTTGAATTTTGTTCTCTCTGACTGGATTAGCATTTTCATCTATTTAATCCTCATATTCATTTTGGTACCATCATTCTAAAATTTCAGCTGGTTTAATCCTGTCAGAGAATGACTTACTTCATCATCCATGTCCTGAAAAGCAGGTAAAGAAGCCAAAGAGTTGTGGATTTGTGTCTATTTAAGGTGTCCATCAGCATTTTGACAAAGGTATGCTAAAATATATCATACAATATTTATTCTTTAACAAGTGTCAAACACCAGTTATAGACAAGATAAACATGTTATTATATGCCATTGCTCAATGTGTTTTGAATTCTACTAGTTTGCCAAATTATGTGAAAACACAGCTGATCATATCCATTAAATCTCAGACTTCTTTTCTCCCACAAACATGTATTTTACCATTGAAATGAATCATGCCCAGCATTAATCAAACTTTGATTTTGATACATCATTCTGATATTAAAGTGGGATTTTTACAGTTCAAATCCTTTCATGCAAATCAGAAACCAGCAAATAATTTATACTCTTCAGCAGCCTCTTTGAAAGCTATTCGGACAAACACAGTGAGTGTTATGCAGCTCAGGTGAAGATGCAGTATGCCTAAGATGAAACAAAGGAATCACTCAATTTTGTGATAATTGAGCTTTCAGCAATTTTTTACCAATACATCAAAATTAAACCTCACTCACTCCATCATCTTATAGCTTGTTTATTTCAGGGGAGCTGTATTCATGCATTAGTTACCTGTTTTAGAAAATAAACACTGGCTGTACTTTAATTGTTCTGTATTACACACACTCTACTTGTCTGGCAGAAGACAGCAGTGCTACCGATCTCCTGGCTTGCACAGTTCACAATCCAACCTGCTGCCCTTCTGGTCAATGAGACCACGGTAAATGTTCCTATTAGAGTTTTCAACTGAAGTTTGGATGATAAACCTGGTGGCACACAAGACGTCGTAAAGCTTGACTGCAGGTCTGCTGATCTGCATTTGGCAACCAGTGCTTTTACAGGCTCGAGGAGCTCCACGTGACAACAGCAGAGCTGCCACTACCAAGAGTGGTCACCTTTCTCCCTTCTGACACAGGTGACACACAAATTCAGCTGGGGGTGTAAAGACAGGTCACTCGCTATGGAGGGGGGCACTGTGTGTAGAAGACTTGTTGAACCCTCCAACTTAAGCCACATTATTTTAACTTTAGAAGTGGAGGCTCTCCCCCTTTCCTGCAAGGATGGAGAGAACTGGAGAACTGGATCAAGTGACGTAAATTTCAAAATTAGCTAGAGTTGCCCAGTTCTGATCCCAGGTGCTATATTTCTACGTACTTTGCTGAGTAAATACAAATTAATGGAAACATGAAATAATTACTGTTATAACACCGATACAGTACCTTTATTTGACTGAAGAAATGAGAGCCACAGAAGGGGTGCAATACTATAGAGTCAAAACTGTATCTTAAGAGGGTACTTTTGAAAACGTTTCCCTGATGAATATATCTCCTCTTCTCTATTGGCTTTAGCTACAACATCAATTTTGTAAATGTTCATCATTAGCACTTGGATGTATATCTGGTATGATACAGTAAATAAATTCTGTCTCCATGGGTCCTCCCAGGAAGTTCTGCAATGGATGAAAGCAAGAGCATTTGGTTAATCATCTAGAAGCAGCTGAGATCTGTATAGACAATTTGGACTCATAAATAATCCCAATCTAATTTAGTTTTGTTTTAGAAAAATCCATTTATGCATGAATCCCTAAAAAGAGATAAGGTTCTCCCTTGCCTTCCACCCACTTTACTTGGAATGGTTTTCAGGTGTCTTTAATTGGTCTTCCAGCAGAAAATGGAATTTTATATACACTTATTTATATATATATGACCTAAAAAGAAAGGAAGGAGACAGATGATTGTGTCATGCAAAGCAGACTTACGTACCACTAGGACCAGTGTCTGGATAGGGAGAAGAGTCCAAAACACTCTCAGCTTTCCCTTGTTCCAGCTGTATGTCTGCACCCATACACTCAAAACATTGCACAGATTTCTTAATTTCACCTGCAAGGGACATGAGGGAGCAGCACCCCTGGGAAGCATGGAGCAGGCATGAGGGATGCTCTCTCCCAGGGCTCTCAAGGCAGTGGGGCACGTACAATCAGTGCTGCATGCACCAATTCAAAACCATATGGTCTGACACAAAGCCAGCATCTGTGGCTGCCTACAGCAATGCCCATGGCCACCATCGCTGCTGCTGTTCCTGGCCCCACCACCATTAAAGAGCGGTGCCTGACAAAAGCAACTGTGGAAACCCTTTGCTGTATTCCACCAAAACTGTTGGCTAGTTCTGGAAACCCATATTAAAACTGAAGTAAGGTAAGAAAATCAGTGATCTCCTAACAGCTGCAATTGGCACAGATCTCCAGTTTTATGCCCCCGGATAATGCCACCAATGCTGTGCAGTGGCATTTGTTCAGCCCTGACTCATAGACAGATGAATGCCACTGAATGAATCACCAGCAGCACTTTCCGCAGTACCTAACGAGGTAGCTCATCCAAATATTGATCGGGCCCAAGTCTCTCTAGTTTTTGAGATCTGACATACCATAGTCTAGGACATTACCAGTGAACACCTGAGTTTTGGCAAGGGGGACTACGGTGAGCAACCAAAATGGCAAAATATCAGTTGGTGCATCCTTTGTTGATAGGAGCTACCTTCGGCCCACCGTTAAGCTATAAAAATGATATGAACACGGCTGAAATGCAAGAGAGATAGCAACTTATTGACTTAATAGCAGAGAACTTAAAGGCAAATTAACAAAATCACTTTATGAAACATTTCATTCTGTTCAGTCCACTGCTGCAGAAGGTCATTAAGCCAAACATTGTAGTAAAATCATTTCAATCCATAACGGTTGAAAGGACAAACATTAAGCAAAGGATAATCACAAATTAGCATTCAGGACATCAGCTGAACATTGCAGGTGTTGAGAGATGATAGTTCTTCCCTGCTAAGTGCCTGGAAAAGCTCATTTCTTCCCCTTTGCCCTCTGATGTTGGACGCCATGAGCCTGGGCACTGGGTGGGGAACACCTGTGGTGCTCATAGACACTGAGGCTCTGCTTGGCCTTTGACTTTAGCTGTGCCAACGGCTGCCTCAGCACATAGGGAAGGGGCAGCCCTTCCTTACCTTTCACTCTGCCCAGCAAGGGCCCAGCCTGGGCCAGGTCCCCAGCCTAGCCCCCAGCCAAAGTCAGGCTCAGTCACCAAGGCCAAGGCCAAGATTGAGCCCCAGGCCAAAGCCCAGCTCAGATCTAAGACCAGGGCCAGGCTCAGGCACCAGAGCCAAGGTGAAGGTCGAGCTCCAAGCCAAAGCCCAGCCCAGGGCCAGGGTCAAGCTCCAGCCCAAAGCCAGTTCCAAGGCCCCAGGCCCAAGGCCCCAGCCCCACACCTCCCTCCGCCCCACACCTCTCCCCGCCCCACAGACACAGCCCCGCCCTCCCTGCAGGCCCCGCCCTGGGCCAGGTCCCCAGCCTAGCCCCCAGCCAAAGTCAGGCTCAGTCACCAAGGCCAAGGCCAAGATTGAGCCCCAGGCCAAAGCCCAGCTCAGATCTAAGACCAGGGCCAGGCTCAGGCACCAGAGCCAAGGTGAAGGTCGAGCTCCAAGCCAAAGCCCAGCCCAGGGCCAGGGTCAAGCTCCAGCCCAAAGCCAGTTCCAAGGCCCCAGGCCCAAGGCCCCAGCCCCACACCTCCCTCCGCCCCACACCTCTCCCCGCCCCACAGACACAGCCCCGCCCTCCCTGCAGGCCCCGCCCCCCTCAGCCCCGCCCCTAGCCCTGACCCCGCCCTTCCCTCCAACCGACGCCCCCTCCCTCCCAGAGAGCGCCTTCCGCGCAGGCGCACTGCGCGCCGGACTCAACTGCCCCCTCGCGGCCCCTCCCAGCCCCTCCACAAAGATGGCGGCCGCGCGGCGGCGGGCGAGGCTGCGAGGAGCGCTGAGGCGACGAGGCGAAGGTGGCGGCAGCAGCAGCAGCAGCAGCGGTGGCGGCGGCCGCGGGAGGCAGTGACAGGTGCGGGGAAGGGAGGAGAAGGCGGCGGAGCGGCGGCGGCCGAAGCGCAGGTACCTCGAGTGGGCGGGTAAAGGGGTGGGGGAAAGCGGCCGGCGCGGCGCCGCCCCTGCCCGAGCTGCGCCATCGGGGAACTCCCCTCCGCTCCCCGCCCTGGTGCCGCTGCCCGCCGGTGCCGGAGACCGAACCGTTAGCCGGGAGAGCCGGCGGGGCCATGGCGGTGAGTAGGCTCGCTGGCCGCCCGGAGGCGGGGTGGCAAGCCGTACCCCCCACCCCGTTCTTTCCCCTCAGCAGGGCGGGGAGAGGGGTGCGAGGGGACGGGGGCAGCCCCTCTACCTGCCCGCGGTGCCGGGCCCCTGAGGAGACAGCGGTGCCCCCCATCTGCCCGAGGAGGGGCCGGGGAACCCCGAAACCCCGCTGGAGAAACTTTCTATTTTCCTTCACGGGCTTCCTTCGCCGCCGCTCGGAGGTGCCTCTCCCGGCCGGGGCTGGGGGGTGTGTGTGTGGGGATCCTCCCGCTGTCAGGGGGGCTCCCCGGGGCAGGGCTGCTGGGCGGCTGCCGCGGGAGAAGGAGGAGGAGGAGGAGGGCGGTTGTTCGGGGAGGAGAAAGAAGCAGATGCGAAGCGCGACCCGAACAGCTGAGAGCCGGCTGTGACAGGCGGGGAGGAGGAGAAGGAAGTGGTGGTTTTCAACACCTCTTTCTTTATTATTGCTGCTGCTGTTGTTGTTGTGCTACTGCTAAGCCGGGAAGGTTCCCTCGGAACTCCTAGCTAAAGGGATTGAGCGTCTGTTTCTGTACGTAGATGTAAAAATCTTCCTGAAAACACTACCATCGTCTTGCCGAGTGCTAAGCAGAGGCATTCTTTCAAGCGAGATTCACGCCCTATTCCTCCTTTCCTGAGTATTAGCCAAGATTGGTTTTAAACAGAAACTTTCTGTTGCTTCCAGACAGCTAGAAAGTGAAACCAACCAGAAGCAAAAATGAAACTTTTCAGCTCATTTTTATTGTGCGGAGTAAAGAAAATAAGCAGCAGAAACAAGGGAAAACATGTTTGGTAGGAGCAAATCATGCTTTATGAGTGGCATATCAAGACGTGCTGGTAATTTGTATAACCTTGTCAAAGGAAATTTATTAGCTACCTTGGATTTCAGGTGTTACTCCAGAACATTTCACGTCATTAAGTAATTTCTCTGAAATGTTCTTTGGTTTTAGAATTTGAGTCTGCATTTGATCAAATATCTACCTAGTTGTGAATGTCTTAAGTTATCATGAAGACTTCAAATCTCTTATTTGTTTGCTGCTCAGTGCACGGTAGCTTCTATCTTAGCAGGACTGGGACCTATAGCTTCTAAGCTTTGAGCTTAGAAGAAGCTGTTTGGTTGTTATGGCAATGGGTAACTTTCTGCTTTACACAGCAAGAAATTTAACTGTAGCCATGATGTGAATCTGCATCCATAGATGTGTTTATGTTCTATATCATGAAATAGTATGAATCACAGCAACTCAGCAGTCCTTAAAAATCAGAAAGTAGAATCAGTTAAATTTTTTCTGCTTTTTTTTTTTTTAGGAAATGGTCCTAAATAATTATGAAATTTAATCACATGATGAATGGGGAAGTAGCAAGCTTTCAGGTAGGGAGAGGGCCGTGCACATATGTCAAAGTTGGAAATATCTCAGTATCTATAGTGCTCAATGTTGCACGTGGGATAGAGTTCTTAATAGCTGGTGTTCCTACCAAGCATGTGGGACCAGGAAGGGTGCTGGTCAAGTTTGCAAACACAACATCTAGTTCTAGATTTAGTCTGTGTGTGTATACAGAATGTAAGCAAGTCATCTTGACCCATAGGGATTGAATCTGTGACTTGTTTCGGCAAACTACACCAGCATGTTTTTTCTGGTGACTTTCGGTGTGGGGGGGAACTGACGTGCTGAATTGGTTACGTTGGAGCATCAAACACTGATTATGGCAGATGCATGCTTAGTTAGGAGAGACGCAGATCCTTGTTCTCAGAAGGGCCAGGGCTCGGTGATCAGTTGCTTATGTCACTCGGTCAGGAGGAGAGCAATCTGCTTTCAGCAGAGTCACAGGCTGACTACTGTAGATTATAATGTTAAAACAGAATTAGATGAGTGTCTCGGGTTTTTCAGGGCAGATGGAGATCTTCTGAGGCTTTCTGTGGTATGACAAGCTCTAGGTGTATGAGCTATGTGAGGCTCAGGTCATTACACACAACGCTTAGGTTATCTGCCTTCAGTCCATTAGTGGCATTTCTACCTTTTTCAAGTTGGGGTTTCTACTAGCTGTGAACTTAAAAGTCAAAAGCTTTTGATTTTTATAGGCAATAATGTAATGGAATTGCAGAAACTTGAATTATGATTCAGACTAATAACTCATTTGCTTTGGGCTGTGAGTCCTGTGGATCTTGGGATGCTTTTGTTTATTCTTTGCCTTGTGGCCATTTTATTTTACTCAAATTTGGACCTCTATCAGCTAACTCAGTGTTATGCTGATGATCATTTTGGCTCTATCTCAAAGAGATCCTTCATAATTGTTATTGCAACTTTAACTACTTAACTGAACATGCTACTGCAATGTTCTGTCTTGGGATTTACTGGGAAGCAAAACCCTTAAAGCCTAACTTCAGGAGAGGTACAATTTTTCATCTTCGTCGTTACTTTCTCTTAAATGTTTTTAACTTCTAGATGCTTTAGGCAACACGCTAATTTACCTTGTTGGCAGGTCACTTCTGAAATATTGTATGTTATTGTAAATGTGTTGATCTCTAGAACTATTGAATGCTTGGAAAGCGTTAAGTGCTGGTGTTCTGATTGTCTATTGATACCTCTGTCAAGGTGGCAAATCCTATAACCTAGCCCAGTCACCTTTTTTTGGGTGGGTGGAGGGAACTGGCAAAGATGCAGTCTTGTTCATGCACAGACACTACAGAAGACAGCTTTTGTGAGGCAGCAGGCCCGCTTCCCAGTCAGTGTTGTTGTCTGCAAGCATTGATGTTCATTGTCAGTGCCTCCTGGAACCTGAGGAATTGTTGTCTTTCTCCAGCATCAAGCAACTCTGTACCTTTTTATGACTTCCAGCTTCTAACTTTTGGAGGATTTCTAGTTCAATCTCTGCTAAAATGTCTACAGGTAACATGTTGTGTTTCATCGGTGCATTTCTGTAATCTAAAATATGAATTGGATTCTCTCTGTTGTATCTGTCAATAACACTTCTATGTTTTATCATCCATGTCTTTAAGACTTGGCTTGGGGAAATTCCCAGGCAATTTGTAGCAAAATTCAACTTGGCTGCAGTTTATAGTGCATGCGTTGAATCATGAGGCATTGCTTTTCCTGTAGGACCAGATCTAGTAAAAATAGATTTGACTTGGACCGTCAACTCTTTAGTTTAACTAAAAGATACTGTCTGTATCTCAGGAAAGCGATAATAGTTTGGAACGAGTACATTGCTGCTTTTTCTGTTCAGCAAACACAAACAATGTTTATTTTGCTCGTGGGGCCAATGTTTCCTGAGCTACAGAAGTGACCATTTTTTGTCTCGTTCTTTGCCATATACAGTAAACTTTGAGCTTCCTTAATGCTGATGTTCACTTGATGCCAGCAGAAAAACACTATGGATAGACAAGTTTAAGAAAAAGGCTAATAAAGTTTAGTGGTTTTGTTTATGTCCAGTAATATTTTGGATTATCATCTTGGGGTCTGTATTTTGTAGGGCTGATGGGGTAGAGGGATGTTTAGAAAGTGTCTGTAACACTTAATAGTATTACATGTTTCTTGTAGTTGTCATCTTTAATTGTTCCAATTAATTTACATTTAGTTTCAGATGGAACAAATATTTTGAAGTCGTTGTTGTTCCATCCGCCCCCCAGAGATCTGGTCCTGTTCCAGCTGCTCACGTGCTCTTGAGCGTGTAACCAGTGAAAATATTCAGCCTTTTTTGCTAAGCTGTCCTAGGTGACTTTAAAAAATGGAAATAGAATTTGCTATGCCCTTTTGTCAATAATTAAATAGATTTTTTTAGCTGTTGTTTTGATGCTGGACTACCCTGTATAATGAGAAGTCTTTTTATACTCACCTGCTGGGTCATGAACTCTTTCTTGAGTGTATTAATCATCTGTTTTGGATAGAATGTGTGCTGCAGAAACTGTCATTTTGATGGCACAACTGTGTAGAGGACTGTGCTACTACTCTTCTTGGCTGTGTTGGTTTAGAATGCTTTTCTGTTTATCGTTTTAGTACCTCAGGACTGGAATACTCTTGTGTTTTCCAAACCCTTTATTAAAAAATTAACACTGCATTCATGGTGG